TGGTCATGCCCAATCTCCACAGAGCCTTTGCCTTGGTCTTTAGGGTGGCCAGTTACTGTGAATGGTTGACCAGGCCACTCTAGAGTTTGGAGCAGGTACCCTGTGGCTTGGTGGTTACGGGCTCCCAGCCATCACGGAGGGGTTTGTGAGGAAGATGGCAGTAGCTCTGTGGGAGGCATCTATTTTTGAATTTTGCTTATCTGCTCGTTCAGGTCTTAGAACTACTTGGTTAGTAGTTACCTTAGAGTCAGCTATCAGAAAAGCAGCATTAGTTGATAGTTGGAGTTTCTTATGTTTTATTGCATTAGTATTCTTGTGTTTGTTTCTCTATGTTGTGGAAAGACTAATAGTTTGTTATGTATCTTCTGGTCATTCCCTTTAGCTAGGCTATTGGGCTGCTGGCACCTGAGAGTCTCTGAGAAGCTCTTAGGCTGACATGTTCACTGAGGAGGAGCAAAATGCATTAGACACAGATTGAGCACCGTCCGTGTTGTTGGAAAGAGACGTGGATTGATCTGGAGACTTGTTTCTGTGCTCCCTGTGTTTCTTTCCTTACTTTTAAACTTACAGAAACAAGCCTCTGGCTTGACCGCAGGGTGTATAAGTGTGACAATAAGCTAAGGCAGTCCTCAGGAAACACTTTTCATAGCCAGAATTCCACAAAAGTGTTGCAATTCTGTGTAGTCCATTTTGTAAAAGCATGTTCCTGGATGAGCTTAAGTCATTGCTGCTTTAAGTAAAGTACAATATTATTTCTTAATAGCATAGTGAAAGTAGAGGAGTGTGGGGTGAGGGAGAGAGAATGAGAATGATTGAGAATTCTTCAAGTTTCTAGACTGAAAAGCAAACCACCTAAGTGGGGAAGAAAGTCAAGCTGGTCTTAGACACTCAAGGGAGTTGCATTCAGCTATAAAGCTAGCAAGCAGATATTCTTTTTGTTTTCGAGACAAAGTCTCACTTTGTGCCCTGGATAGAGTGCCATGGCGTAATAGTTCACAGTAACCTCAGACTCTTGAGCAATCCTCTCACCTCAGCCTCCCAAGTAGCTGGGATTACAGCCATGTGCCACTATGCCCAGCTAGTTTTTCTGTTTTTAGTAGAGACGAGGTCTTGCTCTTGCTCAGGCTGGTCTCAAACTCTTGAGCTCAAGCAATCCTCCTGTTTTGGCCTCCCAGAGTGCTATGATTGTAGGCATGAGCTGCCACGCCTGGCCACACATAGATATTCTAACATAAATGAACTCAAGAAAATGAGTACATATATGTTGTTCTTAAAAAGAAAAAAAAACCACTTGATGGTGAAATCCAGCCAATTAAGAATTGCATAACTCACAAAAGAGAAGTTGAAGTCAGAAGACTGAGGAAATTGACTCAGCTAAAATATACATGTAGTAGTAAATAACTGTGGATTTGTTTTAGAATGTAGTGTAAGGATTAAGAACTTGGACACTGTAAAAATTATATAACAAAAATTGGGAGAAGGAATAGGAAGAAATCTGAGTGAGTGCTAATCGATTTTCAACCTTTTTTTTTTTTTGAGACAGTCTCACTTTGATGGCCCTTGGTAGAGTGCTGTGGTGTCATAGATCACAACAACTTCAAACTCCTGGGCTCAAGAGATTCTCTTGCTTCAGCCTCCCAAGTAGCTGGGACTACAGATGTCTGCCATAACTGCCAGCTTTTATGGAGATGGCGTCTCTCTTGCTCAGGCTGTTCTTGAACTCCTGAGCTAAAGCAATCTACCCACCTGAGTCTACTAGAGTGCTAGGATTATAGGCATGAGCCACAGCATCTGGGCTTAAGAGGATTTTCAACTTTTAAAGCAAGAAGTTAGTAGATTCTGTAAAATTAAATTGTGTACAATTTTAAAACTAAGGTGAGTTGAACCACTAAATATTTTTTCATGTATTTTAAAAAGTATGGAATGGTCCAAAAATACGTAAAATAATAGCTAGAACCAATTTATGTGTTTTTGTATTTAATAGATATTACCATTTTGTTATATTTGCTTCAGATCATGTATAAGTATTTAAAACAGTCTGGGCACAGTGGCTCATGCCTGTAATCTTAGCTCTCTGGAAACCTAAGGCAGGAGGATTGCTTGAGGTCAGGAGTTTGAGATCAGCTTTGAGTAAGAGCAAGGTGCCTTCTCTACTAAAAAAACAAAAAATTGGTTTTGTGATGCATGCCTATTAGTCTCACTACTCTGGAAGCTGAGGCAGGAAAATGGCTTGAGCCAGGAGTTCAAGGTTGTGGTGAGCTAGGCTCATACCCCTGCACTCTAGCTGGGGCCGTAATGTGAGACTCTGTCTCAAAAAACAAATAAATAAATAAACAAACAATAATAATTTAAGACAGAAGGAAAGGTTTAGAGAAAAATAATGAATACCAATGCCTTCACCACCCGAATTGGAAACAAAACATACTAATTCGGGTGACAACCATTGTATGTTCCTCCAAATCCCAGAGATAAACCATACCCTGATTCTGGTGTTATTTCTTCACATATATAAGAATATATCTTTATACTTTAAATATATATCATTTAGTCCTTATAGAAACAATATTCTACAATTTGCTTTTTTAGCTTCACGCTGCTTGGGGTTTTATATTGATATATGTCACTGGAGTGTGAGTATATTTTTCATGCTGTGTAATTCTTTTATATGGATATATTAGGATTTATATAATCCATTTCCAATTGGTTGATATTTATTTGCTTCCTTTTTTGCTATTGTGATACATCTTTTTCCTTTTTTTTTTGGTAATTTTAAAAATCGGATTATCTATGTAAAATTTTATTTATACAAAGTTAAACTTTAAATTTCTTTGTTTGTAGAAAAGAAACAAACACTTAAACTTCAGCAATAGCTTTGGTTTCACTTTGGCTCCTTTTTTTTTCTGGTAATTTTATGAAAATTAAAATTAACATTATTAAAAGTATCGATAGTACAATCCTCTTTATATAAATTTTTTTTTATCTGCATATATACTTAGATGTCTGGGTTGATGTTTACTTGAAGTTAATTATATTCGTTTCTAGATGATGGAATAAACTTTTTACTCTTTTTTTGGTATTGCTTACATTCTTTATAATAAGGATGTAATTTTTTTATAAACACAAAAAAGTGATGTCTTTCTCAAAACGAAACTAAAAGTGAATATTTAAGATAATGAATGACTATTCAACAATGTATAAATAAATATAAATTACATGGTAGGAATATAAATTCTCTTTTTGGCATTTTTTTATTTTAATGGTCTTGAAATACATACATAGAATAGATGAATTGCTGTAATGGTGTTACAGATAAAGGTGTTACCTTTATCTATGGTATAGATCAGGCGTCCTCAAACTACGGCCCACAGGCCACGTGCGGCCTGCCTAGGACATTTATCCGGCCCACCGAGTATTTTTGCTGCCGCTGCCTGTCCTGCTTAGCAGCCAACTCGTCCCAGGGTCCACAGTTTGGCCCTCCAGTGGTCTGAGGGACAGTGAACTGACCCCCTGTTTAAAAAGTTTGAGGACATCTGGTAGATAAAGGAAAGGAAAGGATAGTAATTTTTTTTACTTGATTATCATTTTCTTTTTGATAAAAATCTTAAATCAAGAAGTAAAGACTGAAAACTATCTTAATAAAAACAATGGAAACCAAACCAATGGATTGACACTTTCAAAGTGCCGAGAAGAAAATAAGTGCCAACATAAAATTGTTTACTGAGGGTTTACACACTTTTTCTTGAAGGACCAGAGGTAGTAAATATCTTCGACTTGTAGGCCATGTAAGCTCTTCTGCCGTTGTTGCACTAAAACCGCCCTAGACGATTGTAAGTAAATAGGCGAGGCTGTGTTCCAACAAAATCTTTTTTATGCAAACAGGCTACTGGCCCACAGGCTATAGTTCCCAACTCACGTTCTATATCCAGTAAGAAAATATACTTCAGAAATGGAGAAAAAATAAAGCTATTTTCAGATGAACAAAAACAGAGGAATTTAATCTCTGGTAGCCATGTAGTAAGTTCTGTTCTTTAAGCAGAAGGATAAACTTAACTGAGTATTAGTTGTAAAAAGTAATAATATCCTATGGGATGGAAATAAAATACACACCAAGAAAGCATAAAAAGCAGGTGGTGTAGGTAGATGGGCAAAATGGAGTTTAAGGACCCTGAATTGCCCAGGAAATGGTACAAGTACTAATTTATATTAGGCTTTGCTAAATTAGGGATGCAAGTTACAATTTCTAGGGTAATCAGTAAAAGAATAATATGAATATGTAATAAAACAAATAGTTTATAAAGCAAAATGGAGTAATAAGATTTATCATCCCCTTTTCAATACCTGTCAGTTTCTTATGATTAAATGAAATAAAACTTGCTTTAATGAAAGTTTAAGTCAGGCCAGGCATGTTGGCTCACGCCAGTAACCCAGTGCTTTGGGAGGCAGAGGTGGGAGGATCACCTGAGGCTAGGAGTTTAAGACCAGCCTGGACAACATACTGAGTTCTGTCTCTACAAAAAATATAAAAAATTAGCCAGGCATGGTGGTGCATGCCTGTAGTCCTAGCTACCTGTGAGGCTGAGGCAGGTTGATTATTTGAGCCCAGGAATTCAAGGTTATAGTGGGCTATGATGGAGTCATTGCATTCCATTTGGGATGACAGAGCAAGTACTGTCTCTTTAAACAAAACAAAATGAATCAGAAATCCCTTGAATATAATGTAGACTTCCAGTTATTTAGACTGTATGTAGAAGAGGTTTTCAGGAGTGTTAGAAACATCCAGTAGATTTTTCTTTATTGTCCCAGGATCATATATATAGTCCAGCTCCCTTTCCAACTTCTCACATACCCAATGGGCCCATGTGTCAGATTTGTTTGTCAAGGTGATAAGTGTCTCCGTACTTAACAAGCACCTTCAAGACTGGATCATATCACAAATAAAAGAGTACAAAATGTTCTGTTTTGTAGGTATGACTTGAAAATACGATCTGTTTGTTTTGTAGATATGACCTTGCTTCTAAGGAGTGGCTTCCACTAAACCGTTCTGTGAACAACGTGGTTGTTAGATATGGTCATTCTTTGGCATTATACAAGGTAAAACATCTCTACTCTGTACTAAACAAGAAACTAAACTCTTCCTCAGTTACTTTATTTATTTACTATATAATTAAAAAGCTATGCAATGTTGGTTTCTAATTGGGGAAAACTTTCTATATTGGTGGGAGGTGAAACTTCTTTAACTTAAGAGATTTTAATGGCTTCAAATTGTCCTGGAATATAATTATGGTTCTAAAGGGTTAAAAATATAGATTAAAGAGTGTAGATTAGCTTTTATGCTCATTAATAAGCTTAGCCAAGAATAGCCACATTGTAATGTTACTGAACAATTGTTTTCATTTCCTTGTTTTTGTAGATAGTCATATGAGGAAGTCCAAGAAAAGTAGTGAAGTGTTACAGATATAGAACGTGACGATTTTTATTTCCTGTTGTTCCTTTCTCCATCATTTTCAGGGGCATTTTGTTAACCCTTTTTAAGCTGAGAATAATTATCAAGTTTTTGAACTGGTCCTCTTCTATTCTCAGATTTGATCTTTTCAGTGTTTTTAAAAATTTTATTTATGTTTTTTTCCTAGGATAAAATTTACATGTATGGAGGAAAAATTGATTCAACAGGGAATGTGACCAATGAGTTGAGAGTGTTTCATATTCATAATGAATCATGGGTATTGTTGACCCCTAAGGCAAAGGAACAGTATGCAGTGGTTGGGCACTCGGCACACATTGTCACACTGAGCAGTGGCCGGGTGGTTATGCTGGTCATCTTTGGTCACTGCCCTCTCTATGGATATATAAGTAATGTTCAAGAATATGACTTGGGTAGGTATATTTTTTCTAGTGGTTGTTTTTTGAATGTCAAATTAAAATCCTCTATTTTATATTATTATTACTGTTTAATAAAATTCAAGCTAACCTTGATCCAGTACTTGAAATACATTTAACTTTGATATATTACCAGTGAAATTTAGATTATGGATGATACTGAGTAGAATGTATATATTTGTTGCTGTCAAGTTGGCAAGGTGCCAAAGATGGGACAAAATGCTTTCAGTGTTAAAAATAATCTTTAAAAAATAGTTCAGGACAACAAATATTCTGAAGAAAATAAATTGGATAGCCCTTTAGAGACTGGTTCGATGGAGTGTGCCTTCTCTTAATACAGGGTGTCCATAAAGTTTGTGTGCAAATTTAAATTAAGTTGAATTTAATTTTAAATTGCACATGAATTTTATGGCCATCCAGTGTATAATACTTCCTTTGGGTAATCTGTTACTGTGCAATAGGAGTTGCTATAATTGATACCTTGAGAAAGTAGACCTATAAAGTATATCAGTATATTGGTCACGGAGTTAAATATTACTTAATGGATCTGAGTCTTTTAAATTTAGTATAATTCTTTTCCTACATGCCGTATTAGAACATTAGAACATTTAATAGGTTGGAGTTTGGACACATGGCTTTTTAAATAAATTTTAGGTGGCTTTGTTTTAAAAACAAGAAGATAAAAGAAGTTATATATATCAGGTCTCTTGAAATCCCTACTCATCCCCTCAGCTATTTGGACATCTTAAGTATTAGGGAGGAGGAGTCTGCCCTGTTTCCTTTAACTGTTTTTCCCTTTCCAGATAAGAACACGTGGAGTATATTGCAGACCCATGGTGCCCTTGTGCAAGGGGGCTATGGCCACAGCAGTGTTTATGACCACAAGACCAGGGCTCTGTATGTTCATGGAGGCTACAAGGCTTTTAGTGCCAATAAATACCGGCTCGCAGATGATCTCTATAGATACGATGTGGATACGCAGATGTGGTGGGTATTTTTCTTGAGCTTTCACTTTAAGGTGTGAATTCTATAGAATTGATTATTGAGACGATATTGTGCTATATTTTTATTTTCAGTCCTGGCAGATAATTTTGTTCAGTATTATACGTAGAAATAATTGAGAAGTAAGCAGAAATTAATAAAGTTGCTGGCATTTATTTTGTTGCATTAGTCTATAATTCTATAATAGATTGATTAGAAAATGTTTGGCATTTTTTGACTTGTTTTCAATTTTTTTTTTTGAGACAAAGTCTCACTGTGTCACCCTTGGTAGAGTGCTGTGGCATCATAGCTCACAGCAACCTCACACTTCTGGGCTTAAGCGATTCTCTTGCCTCAGCCTCCCAAGTAGCTGGGACTACAGGCACCTGCCACAACACCTGGCAGTTTTTTTTAGAGACAAGGTCTCGCTCTGGCTCAGGCTGGTCTTGAACCTATGAGCTCAGGCAGTCCACCCACCTCAGATGAATCCCTCCCAAGTGCTGGGATTACAGGCATGAGCCTCGGCACCTGGCCCAACTTGTTTTCGATTTTTATACACAGAGCACTAGTATACAGTTTTAGTTCTTTAAAATCTTGACAAAGAAATTTTGTAGCTTGTACATAGTTGGTGCACACTTTTGTAATTAAGTAGAATATATCCATTTTTACCTTTTCATGATCAGCAAAGCGTCACCTTTGGGATTAGTTACTGGCATCATTCATAAAATCATCAAACAGGATGTTCTCTGAACTGTACATAAACATATGCTAATTTTAACAAACAAAGCTAATTTGAATTATGAAATAATGTAACTAAAAAGCAATGGTTTCTCTTCTATCTTTCTGTATTTCCTCACATATTTGTTACCATGCTATGGATATTATGTTATACTCTGTCATAAAAGTCATCACTTTTGGTGACTGTGTCATAATCCATTGTTTAGGTATACTGGGCTTGTGTGGTTGGAAGTTTTGGTTTCTACCTTTTGTCTCATTAAGAAAGCATTGTGAGGCCAGGCATAGTGGCTCATGCATGTAATCCCAGCACTCTGGAAGACTGAGTGGGTGGATTGCCTGAGCTCACAGGATTGAGACCAGCCTGAGCCAGAGCAAGTGGTCATCTCTAAAAATAGCCAGGTGTTGTGGCAGGCGCCTGTTGTCCCAACTGCTTGGGAGACTAAGGCAAGAGAATCCCTTGAGCCCAAGAGTTTAAGGTTGCTGTGAGCTATGACACCATAGCACTCTACTGAGGGTGACAAAATAAGACTCTGTCTCCCAAACAAAAATAAATAAATAAAAGAATAAGAAAGCATTGTGCATAAGTGTTGTCTATATTTCATGTGATTTCTGCCCAGAAACTGGAATTATAGGGCTATGAGATATTAACATTGTAAGGCTCTTTGTCAAAATTCTTATAGGTCTTTAAAATTTTATATATTTATTGTTGAGAAATTTATATATAGGGACAAATCTAGAAGAATTTTCACATTGTGTCTGAAGTTAATAAAATGGTTATGCTTGTAGGTAGATAAGTACTCTTTAAAAACTAACCTTGTATTTATTGTTTCTAAATAAACTTAAAAGGACCATTCTTAAGGACAGCCGATTTTTCCGTTACTTGCACACAGCTGTAATAGTGAGTGGAAACATGCTGGTGTTTGGAGGAAACACACATAATGACACATCTATGAGCCATGGTGCCAAATGCTTCTCTTCAGATTTCATGGCTTATGACATTGGTAAGTTTCCCAGCACCACTTTAACTTCAATGATCTTTTTGCCTTTAAGAAACATTTAAAAGAAACTGAAAATTTTGTCAATTCAAAATGGTCAGGCCATTTGAAAGAGGTCTGAATGGTATTTTTCATATTCATGTATCCTTTTGTTTAATGTTATATGCCTATGCGTATTAAAAAGTGTTATTGCTACATTAAATTCTTTTTGACATCACTTCTGTTAATTGTGTGAGTGTTAATTTTTGAGACTTAGTTCATGTATCTAGTCCCTTTTTTACAGATGCCTTGCCAGTGATGTTAGGTAGTTTTAACTATCAGCATTGTGTTAAATTGGTTCAAGTATTAGCTTTATTTCATTCTATAGAACACTGGTTCCTGTATTCTTGATGTGGAAATATACTTGACCAGAAGAGGGCAGGATTTGTTCATGGAAAACATAATACGTAGCAGATGTTCTCTTGTGTATTATTAAGATGTCCATTTTAAACAAATTATCATTATTTTTTGGTGTGGTAAAATATAGACAACATAAAATTTATCACCTTAACTATTTTAAATAGGTATTTTAGTGGAATTAAGTACATTTATAACGTTATGCATTCATCACCACCATTTGTCTCCATAATGTTCTTCATCTTGTAAAACAGAAACTATGCCCATTAAACTATAACTCTGCACCTCGCCCTCTTGGTAATGACTGGAAACCATCATTCTCACTGTCTGTCTTTATGATTTTCATTATTCTAAGCCAGACATCCTTTTTAACAGACACTTGTGGGCCGGCCACTAAGCATGTACGTACACGGGCAAGATAAGGTGACTAAGTTACAGCCCTTAGCTTCAAGGAAGAGAGAGCAAAGAAATGAGAAGACAGTATGATTGCATTTTAGGGTGTTCCTTGCTGAAAGGAATGTATGAGAGCCCCTCTGAGGATCTCTTAAATCAAGAGAGGTAAGGATGATAGAGAAGGCCTTCTTGAGGAGGGGTCGTTCAAGCTAGAACTTTGGATACATTGGGAGTCAGTTAGGTGACATTAGGCTGGATATTCTAGGCAGAGGAAGCCCATGTACAGAGACACAGGGTGGAAAGAGTACATGGCACACACTTAGGGCTTTTGAGTACTTAGTTTTAGATGCATAATAGCAGCACACCAGGGAGGAGTGGCCTCAGATGAACTAGAGAAGTAAGTAGCTGTCAGACTGTACAGATTTTGAGAAGTTTGGTATGTCGTGCTGAGGAATTAGGGCTTTCTGAAGAATCTTCCAGAATAGTTGATGGAATCATATTTGTGTTTGAGGAAAATCTCTTTACTGGCGTTGTGGCAAGTCCCTGGGAAGGGACAAGATGGTAGTTCAGGGACTGTTGCAGAAGGCTAGAAGAGAGTTTAACCCAAGGCTGTTAAAGTAGCTGTGAGAATAAAGAGATAGGTTTGATGACTACCAGGAACTTAGAGATTGGGAAGAGAGATAAAAGTGTCCTTACTTCCAGGTATCTGGTGTGGGCCACAGTGCCAGGATCTGGGAGGAAGAGCATGAAGTAAGTTGGGGCCAAGTCCGATTGGAGATGTCTGTGAGAGAAGGCAGAGAGCCAGCGGGACGCTCCAAGAGGGGTGAACTTCTGTAGGGTTCCCGTGTCATAGGGATAAGCACATAGCCCGAGGCCAGATGGAGAATTGGAAAGGCAGTGGAGTTTGTGACAGCATGTCGGGGAAGTAGGAAGAAGGTCAAGATTGGTAACCTCGGAGGGAGCAGTTCACAATGGTTGCAAAGTGACTGAATAAGCACTGGAGAGTCCTTTAGATTTAGCAACAAAGAGAACATTTATCACCTCCTAGTCATAGAGGAATAGTCCAGATTCCAAGAGGCTGAGAAATTGCGTAAGCTGAGACATATACACAGTGACTGTTGACTGGTGTGTTCAAAACCTTGTCTGTGTGAAGGGAAGAAAAGGGGTAAGTGGAATGCCTCAGAGGGAGGAAGATCTAGGAGAACTGTTTCTTTTTCTTTTTTTAAAAGGTGAGCTCATGTTGGGCTTATTTAAAAGTGGTGGTGAGAGCCAGCAGGAGATTTGGAGGCCAAAGGAGGGGGTATCTGTCAAATCAGGAGACTTCTGAAGAATGGGATAAGAAGAAGGGATCCTTGCCACGCTGTGGTTTTAGGGCAGACAGCAAGGTGGGTGGGCAGGAAGCTAAGAGATTGATGGCCTCTCTATGTGAGGATGACCACAGAATCTAAGGAGGGTAGGAGAAGGAAGTGACGGCTGTTGTTGTCAAGGCTGAATAAATGTCTAGATCCGGTGGAGGTATCTTGGCTCAGTGAATATCTCAGAGAGTGACACAAGGAGTATGAGGATGGTGTGGTTCAACAGCACCAGTTGCTGTTCATAGGTCCAGTAGAGAAGTTACTAGTATGGGTCAGGACAAGGGAAATTAGTAGATCTAGAGGATCTAGGAAAGGATTTTTAAAAAATTAGATAATGTTTAAATTTTTAAAAAAATTAATTTTCCATCTGTATTTTCCACTTTAGCTACTAAATTTGGCCAAATCAATATAGAGAACCAGTGGCATATAATTATGGAATTCACAAGTGTTGTCCACATAAGCTTTGTACAGTGTAAAATTTGCTTGCATTAAAAAAGATTCTATTGGGGTAAATTGATAGGCGGTAGAATGAGTGACCAGGATGTGATGGGTTGGATGGACTCGCTAATTAGCACTGATGAATGTTCTGCTGCTGCAGCAGCATTTTACCCCAGAAATGGTCTAAGGAAATTGAGAGGCATGTTTTATGAGGTTGTGTTTGTTGCGGTCTTCTTCCTGAAGAAATATCAGGTCCTGTTAATTATGAATGGTAGGCCCTTCTGAAATGTGTTTTTCTTTCTCCTAGCTTGTGACCGCTGGTCAGTGCTTCCCAGACCTGATCTCCACTATGATGTCAACAGATTTGGTCATTCAGCAGTCTTATACAACAGGTAACCGGAGAAGTGCTTGCTTCTTTTTCTTGTGTGTTTAAAATGAAAATGAAACAAAGTATGAAGAAGTGGACTTTAGGTATTATTTGCAGCATTCCCTCATCCTATTAATTTTTCACAGAATTATGTAGGTGTGGATTTTCCAGTTTATGTTTAAAATATTTTATGTGGATGTGAATTACTTCAGATGCCTTGTTTATTGATGGTTTCATTAGCATGCAAGAGCATGCTGTGTTTGGTATTGTCTGAGGGCATGGAACAACAAAAGTTACATGTGTGTTACTGTTTTGTGTCCTCTGCTATTTTCAGTACTTAGGTTGTTGAGTTTCTAGTAGTTATATCTGAATGGTAAGGATTTGGGAAAAAATAAAGAGGGCACTTTAGATGGGGGTATAGGGTAGAAGAAAAGAGATGGGGAGGTTATGAAGCTTAATATAGATCAAGTGTATAGTCTTTGGATAATTTGAAGTCTGTAGTGCATTTTATCTTATCACTCAAAAATGCCTAGCCCAAATGACCAGAGATCTTCATAAACCTGCTCTGGAAAAGTCTCAGTCAAATAAGAGAGATTCAGCGTGGCTATTCTCCCTGGTTCTTTTTTTTTTTTTTTTGAGACGGAGCCTCAAGCTATCCCCCTGGGTAGAGTGCCGTGGCATCACAGCTCACAGCAACCTCCAACTCCTGGGCTCAAGCGAGTCTCCTGCCTCAGCCTCCCAAGCAGCTGGGACCACAGGCGCCCACCACAACGCCCGGCCATTTTTTTTTGGTTGCAGCCATCATTGTTGTTTGGCGGGCCCGGGCTGGGGATTCGAACCCACCACCTTAGGTGCATGTGGCTGGTGCCTTAGCCGCTTGAGGCACAGGCGCCAAGCCTCTCCCTGTTTCTTATAGTGTGCTTTAAATATTTTTAAGAAGTTACACAGCTTCCCAGCTACTTAGGAGGCCGGAGGGGAAAGATCACTTGAGTCCAGGAATTTGAGACTGCAGTGAACTGTGGTTGTGCCTCTACACTTCAGTTTGGTGACAGAAGTTAAACAGCCTACTCATGTTATTTTTCTCTGTTTGTTTCTTAAATTTACTGTTGTCTGCTTCCCTTTTAAAATCTAAGCTATATAAACCCTAAAGCTATTAAGTGCCATAATGCCTGCATTGTGTAAGGATTTCCTTGGCTTTGAAAATTCTTTTGTGATGATGAAAGACAAATGAAGATAATTTAACTTGGATTAACAAATATAAGAAAATGATGTCTTTTGGGAATGTGAAGGAAGAGTTGACAGAATTTAGAAAGTGGATATTGGGAAAAGGTATTGTCCTTTATAATACAATTATTTATTTAGCTTTTTAGCAATATATATGGTTTTACTATGAGGACATTTGATTGTTATAGGCTAAAATGGAAGGAATTTTTTACTACCTTGCTAATTTAAAGGGTTGTCCTAAATCAATATCTGATACTTCTTCAGTAAGGAAGGCCCTAGAAGCCTTATAGCAAGTGCCTCTTGAAGACTGCATCTGAAACTCAGTGAGGCCATTTGGTCGTCACCTTGCCTGGGTGCCTGGCCTCAGCTGTCTTCATCCTCATGTTCCTGGTGTTTTCCTAGCGTGAGTTTTGGCCATACTAGGCAGTTGCAAAATGGCAGTTATTAGGACAGTGATAATGAGCAAAGAAATGAATCCTCTTTTAAAACATCCTTAGATTTTATCCAACTCAGAGAAGTTGGTGGTTTACTGGAAAATGTTGTTTAATCATAAGTCAAAATTGAGACTGACTTGCCTGAGTTACAATAATGCTTTTATTTGTATTTAATTTCAATGTATTTGAAGCCTAGTATGTGAGTATTTGAGACAATTGAAGGAGATGGGATAAGGAAGGAGGCCATGTACCAAAAGGCCATGGTTTCAGTTTAATTTTATAAAAGAATTTACTGAAAGAGAAACTGGTTCACATGATTTCTTTGTGTTTGAGTGGATCAGCAGCATTGAGTCAGCTGTGCCTTGTGCTGTACCTGCTAGGGAGGCAGGAAGGAGCAGTGTAGCTGTGCCTCTCCCTGGCCAGCTCCACCCATCTCCAAGGCTTTCCCCACCCTTGCAGAGCCCCAAGTGACCAGGTGCATTCAGAATTGCCAAGAACACCAACTGTACTGGGAAAAGGAGGGAGCTTATTTTGATTAAAGCAGCGAAATAACTAGTTGAATCCAGCCTGTTTATGTTAAGTAAGCCAATAGTGAGAGGTTAAAAATGAAACCTGGTGTTCGTGTTCTAGTTATTGAAATGAGTGGTTTTCAGATATAGTAACAAATATTTGAAGAGCTACAAATATTTAGAAAACCAGAAAATCTTTATGCTTTAGATAGTCCTCTGTTAATTTGGGGGAGATTGAGGCATAGTGAGAATGAGTTAACTTGATGTTTCATTGTGCATTAGTTTTGAACTTCCTGGTAGATCATAGGATCTTGGGGTTTGAAGGGATCCTTGAGATGATCTGTTCTAAATTCCCACTTAACACAGGCATCCCCATTAACCCTGTTTAGAGGTGGTGAACATGCCTAACAAGGAAGGCAGCCCTTTAAACACATCCACGGATGGAAAAGTCACATATGAAAAAGCTCCTTTCTTCTTCTTCTCCTCCTCCTCCTTCCCCTCTCCCCTTCTTTCTACCCCTCCCCCACCTCCTCCCTTTTTTTTTTTTAACACAGAATCTCACTTGGTCACCCTTGGTAGAGTGCCGTGGTGTCTTAGCTCACAGTAACCTCAAACTCTTAGGTTCAAGTGATCCTCTTGCCTCAGCCTCCCAGGTCGCTGAGATTATAGATGCTCACCCCACGCCCAGCTATTTTTTAGAGACGAGGTCTCGCTCTGGCTTAGGCTGGTCTCGAACCTGTGAGCTTGTCTCAAACCTGTAAGGCAATCTACCCACCTCCGCCTCCCAAGTGCTGAGGATTACAGGCACGAGCCACTGCACCACCTTCTTTTTTTTTTAATGCAAGTGTGAAACGAAGTTTGTTGATGAAGAAAAAAAGATAAGTTTACAGAATAAGAGGGTTTCCAAAGCAAGAAATGTTTGACATAGACAGTGAATGGGCCTTCACTCTGTTGTGACAACTGAAATTGAGCATCTTTTCATATGCCGTTGGACATTTGTATTTTGCCCCTGCAAACTGGCTGAATCATTCTCTATATTATGGCTGTTCCTTTTCTTGTAATGTAACGTAAATAATTTCTTCCTAGCTTATCATTTGTCTTTTTACTTTGCTTATAGCATTTTGTTTGTTTGTTTGTTTGTTTGTTTGTTTTTTGAGACAGAGCCTCAAGCTGTCCCCCTGGGTAGAATGCCGTGGTATCACTGCTCACAGCAACCTCCAACTCCTGGGCTCAAGCGAGTCTCCTGCCTCCACCTCCCAAGTAGCTGGGACTACAGGCGCCCGCCACAACGCC